ATATCATCAGTTTTACACATATTATTTAATTATGCGTTTTTTATATGTACGACTCAGCATGTGGTTGTGCAACAAACTATTGAATATTTTAGTGCTCCGCTGCAGCAGAGCTCTTCTAGGGATGTTCAAGCATCAAATTGAAACATTTATTATTGTAATCAGACATCTAGAAATGACCCCAGAGTTGTTTACTTGTTGAAGACTTGGCATTAATGTTTATGTATAGCTAGTTTCAGATTATCCTCATTTTGGGCAAACCTTCTCATACATGATACCACAGGGGAAAATAAGCTTAATCTTGTCTTGTAACTCACTAACTAAACAATTAAGTTAATGGTATACTTCAGTCCTGCTTTAACAACTGTTAAACATCCTTCTCCCCCCTAACTGGTCAGAAAGGAGATGGAGACATAATTTACTGCTACTCCTGAAGCAAAGGCTGTGATTTCTGTCAGGGATGATCGAGGGTAACATCCAATTAAAGCCATCAATGTATGCAGCCGATTAGGCTATGTTTACAATTGCAGGCCTTAATGCTCAATCCCCCATTTTTTTTATCTGATTCTTTTGCATGGTTGTTCACGTTAGAAATATATGTCCTGCATGTGCAGTAGAGGACACAATCACGTCATAAGCAAACCTGCTACGTGTTTAGAGAAGTAAACATACATGGTAGTGTTGCAGCGCATTTGCAATCTTTGAAGTCTTTCCCATCCTCAGCCATTGAGAACACATTTTTTTCAAGAAGGTTGAAAATAAAGCTTAAGAAAAACATTATTACATTATCGTCTGCTATGGTTGCTGTTTTTTGTCACACATCTGCATAGCATGATGCAGAATAGGGACCTTTGTCAGGTGAGTATTAATGGCATCAACATCGGATGAATGGGACCTGACCGTTCAGACGATTTGAAAAGATCAGATTGATATCAGATTTAGGACCACATAGCCAAGCGGCCTGGGTTGCATTGGAAAAACGGATCTGTCTTGTTCAGACTGTCATGAAAAGGTGAGATACAGGTTGCATCATCATGATTTTGGCGCTGATGGCTGACTTTATTGCTAATTTCCTTCACCTGTCTAACTGCCCTCATCAGATCCACCTGTTCCAGTTTTCTGTTTAGCTCCAGGTTTCCCAGCCAATAGTGCCAGATTATTCTTGAGCCTTTGATAAAGAGAGTTTTGTAGCTTACTTTGTGTTCTGATTATCTGTAACATGTTCTGTTAGAGTAGCCAAACGAAAAAAAGTCAGGAATTCAATCACTGTTTTCACATAAAGCAGCTAAATACCTCAGCTCAGCTAACTGATAACCTCATGGTAGGAAGCCATCTCTGTAGACTTTGGCTGGTCTGGTTGCATGCATACTTTATACAGTCTAACTAACCAATAGGCAGAAGCTGTTCCCTTAAGACCGCCCCCTCCTCATTTACATAACGAGGCAGAAATTAACACAGAAATGTGAAATTATAAAAAAGACAGATAAAAAATAAGGGTACACAGAAATGTACAGATATTAAAAGCAGGTAATTATATATAAAGCGAAAAAATATGATATAAAAATAAGAGTTAATCATTATGAAGAGGAATAAGTATATAAGCTATTAGATCATATTTATACGTTTTTGTTCTCATTGTATAATTGAATTGATGTGTACTTTTATTTATGTTTTTTTACTGATTCATTTGTATGCCTATGTTTTTTATTAATCATTAATGCATTTCTGTATGAATTGTTCGTTATGTAAGAGTTGGTCATCATACAAGCACCTAAAAGCAAACACCTGTGAGTAAATGTGTGAGAGAGACTTTGTAAAAAAGCTTTCAGTTAAAAATGATCGATCAACAGCTTGGTTAACACTGAGGTATAATTATTTACCAGAGTTACTCTTTTTTTAATAGATATGTGACTTATAAAACAATTATATTGGGTTTTTTATTTGGTGTGTCAGAGAAAAGGGAATACAAATACACACTTTTTAGCTTTGTGAGAACAAGTAATAACAGGTAATAACTGCTTCAAAAAGTTTAATGAGCCATAAATATCTGTCATCTGCAGTTAAGTTTTAACAATTTGATTGATAAACTGGTTTGAATGTAATGTTTAACTGCTTGGATCAAATAGTAGCATATGAACCTGACTCTGAATTGATCTGTTTGGTTGGTCTGTTTTATTTAATTAACTGTTTCTGCGGAAAGATTTGGCTGATATATTTGTATCTTAGTGCTAAAGATAATATTACTGTTATTACACCACTGCATACATAAACCGAATTAAAAGTGATTCAATTTCTCAGTTTAAAGGCTGCAAGTTTTAGATAATTTGATAATGATTTACACCTAACATTCGACATAAAATGACTTGGTGTGTGCAGAGTGTAACCTGAAAAACTGGGACATTGAGTAAACAAATGAGATTCAAAGGTTACTACTTGCCACTGAGAGACACAAAGTATTTATCCTGTTGTGCTTTATGTGCTGCGCTGGGTTTGTGAGAGAAGGAAAATAAAGTTTTACACCCTTGCATATATTCGCTGAGTAATGAACACATTTTTGTCAGCTTAAGATTGTTATGAATATGCAGTTTAAGGACTGCATGTCTTTCTTTAGAACAGTAATAACATGTTTGCAGCAGGAAATTCAGGAAAAACAGTATTAGATTACTTTATTTGCCATTATTCCTTTCAAGATGAAGAAAGTAGTGCATAATATACATGTCAAACTCTGATATACGGCTCAGAAAGTGAAACACCTTTAGTGCAACTTTAAACAGGGTGTTTAATCAAGACCAAAGGTTATAAAACCAAGCAGATTCGCGTATATCAGATGGAAAATACACTTTAGAGGGTTGTGTAATCAGAAGTAACATGTGTTGATGTTTCACTTTTTCAGCCATCAAACAAGAAGCAAAAGCAAACAAATTTACAAACAAATATAGCGGGGAAGAATTTTACCTTCAAGCTAGAGTGTGGTTTCCCTTCTCACAGGTGTGTGTGTCCTTCTCTCTCAGCAGGCTCTTCCCTTTGGATTTCCTCCTTCAGCTAAGTTTCATTTCTGATAAAAAAGGCCACAGAGGCACCTCCCTTACACAGAGAGGGCAGCTGGCACACACCTAAGCAACCAAATTATCTGTTTGCATGTGACAGGGCATGTTGGATGTTTAGTAACAGATCAAGTACTCCACTTGCCCAGAGGGTTTTTCATTGGAAGTAAAAGGACGTTTTTGGTTTATAGTTCTTTGTACAGCTTACTGTGAAGCCTGTTTTACTGGAAAATTCAGTGTTCATATTGTTTATAAGTGTCGGTTTATAGTTCTGTGCCAAAAGACAACCAGGAAGACAGAAACAAAATCTCAGAAATTTGTACTGGTTGAATACTTTCAATAGGGTGACCAAACGTCCGTATTTCCCGGGACATATCCGTATTTCACGTCCTGTCCCGGGCGTCCCGGGTTTTTTTTAGAAAGTGAGGAAATGTCCTGATTTCACTGCGCACGACGCTCCGTGTGACGTAATCCCTGAGCCGCGTCAGTGCGGGCAGCCCTGCTCTTAATCAGAGGCTCTGTTCGAAAACCTGGGCTGCATCCTCCAAGGACGCGGTCTACCTAGACTGGATCCTTCGAAGTCCTTGAAAATAAGGAGGCCGGAAGAGTTTTGGCTGTAAATTCAAACAGGTGCACCCTTCGGCGGGTTTTACCGCCGTATGCTCTGTTGCTTAGCAACCGTGAAAGTTGACACACAAAGCAGGAAAATAATGAATACCGAGGTTTTCAAAACTGTTTGTTTATTTATTTATTTTTTTAAATGTTAAAGTGAACAAAGACTACACTCAGAAGAATCCAGAGTGGAATAAAGATTCCAACCACCGGGAGCAGGAACAAATAAAATCAAATGTAATGATAGAAACCTTAGTCAGTTAAATAACATGCTGCTGTCATTTTGCACATCTCTGATGTTGCTGCTATTTTCAAATATCCATTACTGTAAAAATGTCCATAGCTGCATATTGGTTATTAATTCTCCAGTTGTATATTGTTAAAACACTTTACAGAATTTTGTTTATATTTTAACTCTTCCCTATTATGTTATTCTTATACATTTTTCTAAGGTCCTCATTTGTGTGACCATTTCAATAATCTTTCTGCTGCTGTAAATTTGCCCATTGTGGGACAATAAAGGGATTTTCTGTTCTATTCTATAAAAGGGTTAGAAATATATAAGCAAATCTAAACAATGTATCTACAAAATATATCTGCAAAATCTCTAATATTCAACAACAAAAAATACTTAGTTAAGCATATTGTGCAAAACAACAATAAAAAAATTAAACTCCTATCAGATTTACAGTCTCCACACTGCAGATGTAGAATCTGTCCTTAAATTACAGCCAAACCCATTTACACAGTAACAGATAAAAACCTTTAGATAAACCAAACATTACTGCCACATATCTGACAGAAAAACCATTAAAACAACTATTTTAATTTATTTCAGACGGAGCTATTCACAGAGTTTTATTATATTAAACTGAACTTCCAATTTTCACCACTGTTCTTCGCCAAGTAAGATTTCCTCTTATCACGGAGCAAATCCCGATGATGAGAAATTTCTTTTTTTCAATCAACCCCAACCATAGGTTTATAACCCTAAGTGATAAAACATGGTTCTAATTACTCTATATGGTCCTAAATTATACAATATATGCACTGGCTTTATGTATTTCAAAATTAAAAATTTTTAAGACAAACTCACAAATACACTTTTCAAGTGTAGAACACTAAGCTTTACCGTAAGCTTTACTATGAATTAACTCTAGTGAATAATAAGTACACCTTGATCTTTGAACCTAGATTGCAGCTCACATTTGCCCATTTCCATACACATTTACATAAATCTTAATGAAAGTGTGCTGAAGTTGAATTCTAAACCAGTTAAATAGCAAATTACCACTTTTACTCATAAAGTTGCAGTTCCTACAAATGAAAACCTGAAGTTGAGACAATCTAATAAGTTTTTACTTTTGAAATAATCAAGGGTTCATAGTTGATCTGCTTTTTCATATGTTGACTGAAATATGGGTAAAGCTCATCACTGAATGAGCACTTAGAGAAGGAGTAGATATGAGACTGGTTTGTCACATCATAGAAGGACAAGAGATTTTCCCCATAATCCACAAAGACCCCGACTGTCTCTGGTTTCTCTTCCAGGGTAAGACGAATAGGTGGATCCATCAAGGCTGCATAGTTGTTGACCTTCACCTCCCAGTATGACTTTCCAGTAGTCAAGCTGTTGAGTCCGAGAACACTGCCAAAGAAATCGAACCTCTCAGGTGAATCAGCTACTTCCTGGTTTTCGCCTCCATCTTTGACTTCTTTCCCATTAGGGGAAATAATGAGGTGTTGGTGTGCTGTCTGTGCGTCTAGTTATACGTCCACTGTTAGGTCAAATTTAAAATGGGTTAAGAGCCATCTGTTATGTATAATAGTCAGAAAATACCATGAAGGAGAAGAAAAACATGCTTTATACCTGAAAACTTCTGAAGTCTTTTGAGTTCTGTAAAAAAAAAAAGATATCAGTTAGCCAGATTCTTTATATTTCTCGTACCACAAGTTTAGTATTAGGAGTCCAGCTTCTTCAGCTCCTGCTGAATATCTCTAAGCATTGTTGTTGAGATTTCTCTCATGGAGCCAAAAGACAGAGTGCTGTCAAGTTTCACGTCTGTCCAGTCCATCATGTCATCATGGACTGGAACAAAAGGATACTTCAGGAAAAACAGAAAAATAGACATAAAGATAAAGGTACACACTTAGTAAGCTTTAAACCTTTTCAGGCACTTAAGGCAAAATGTATCTCTGTATTGATCATTCATCCATCTTAGAAAGTAGGTGGATTCTTTGTCTGATTAAACATATTTTGGTGTGAAATGTGACAAACAACCCAAAAGAAATACAAAAAAGGATGCTACGATGATAGCAGAGAAGTGCTGGCTACATAAAAGCAGAACTCCCCTGCCAGCATTTGCTGAAGAACATAAAGCTAAACTTCACTAATGTCATATTTCCAGATATCAGGAAGTCCATTAAAATAAAACAAACAACAACAAAATAAAATGTTCCATGCACAGTAGTGTGAAACTGAAACTATAATGGAAAACAAGAATTTGTGAAAATTGAATCAGGCCAACAGAAGATGTGAACTTTCCCACTTTTACTGATCCCTAGGTCATTACAAGGACCAGCTGCTTGAATGTAGCCACAGTTCTACAAAAACAATTAAATTACAATTTGGTACTTTTATTTATTTATTACACAAGAGCTAGTATGACCACTTACAACACACAAAACTCCAAGAAGAAAGACTAAAGCATTGATTTGGACAGTCAAAACTTCCTAAATATAGCTGGAGATAATGTAGATGCTGAATAAATAAACTCAATCTTTCAAATTTCCAGGGCCATACAGATAAAAAAAAACTACAAATAAAAACACAAGATGTGCATATAGTGCCAACAAATGTTTTATTGTTGGATCCTTTTTTACCATTCAATATGTTGGTAAGAACTTTTTAAGCCTTTTATAAATTAAAGAGCAGGCAATGCATATAGATTTGGCCTGTGGAAGAAAATGAGCTGATCCTTAATTTAAATGTTTTAATAATTATTATAATAATTGAACTTTATTGATCTCACATTGGAGATATTTATCTCTGCATTTAACCCATCCCTTTGGGGAGCAGTGGGCTGCCATCGTGTGGCGCCCAGGGAGCGGTGTGGGGTCAAGGGTCTTGCTCAGAGAGCCACAGTGGCAATCTGTGGGGCTCGAACTCAAGATTCCAAGCTCTATGCCCTAACCACTAGGCTGCCACTCCTTCCATCATTTTTTTGGTCAGTCTCAGAGGATGTGGCTGCTATGAGTTACTAGCTATGTAGTGGTAGTTAAAAGACTGCTTTGATTGGTTAATATGTTTAGCATCAACATGTTTGCTTCTCTGCCCCCATACACAGTACGTACCTTGCTCTCCTTTAGAGATGTGGTTATCTCGTCCATCTTTGTCTTTTTTCTTATTTCTTATTTCAATCCTCTCTTCTAATTCTCTCTTAGTGTTTTGAAGTTGAGTCTGGAGAACAAAATGTGCAATTCTTTTGGCCAACACTGAACATATATTTTTTTCTTTAACTGGTTTTTATTTCAAAATCCCCTTCTTATTACTCTTTAACAAACATCAACATGGTTTAAAAGCTTGTAACGAATGAGTCAGGAAGTAGAAACTACCTTCTTTTCGAGCCATGCCTCTTCGCTGGAGACAAACCATGCCTCTTCGCTGGAGACAATTTCCTCCTGACTTACTTCTAAACATCGAATACAGATGCTTTTCTGTTGCGTCTTGCTGTACAGCTCTAGTGAACGTCCGTGGATCAGACAGGCCCTTGCGTCTAAGTTCTGCAGTGGTTCCACCAGCTTGTGACCCTTCAGCCTTTCAGCTGAATGGTTTACCAAGTGGCCTGAGCAATAGGAGGTGAGACACACAAGGCAGGCCTTCTTAGCCTTCTGCCATGGTTAATTGCAAACATCACAAACCACTTCCCCAGCTGCACCTGAACTCCTGTTACTGATTGTGTTTTTCATCTGCTAGGCAGGTGCAGCCATGTCTGATGAAAGAAAATATCTAATTTAACTGTCAACCAAAATATCAATTATCAATTCAATTCAGTTTATTTAAGTAGTGCCAATTCACAACACATGCCATCTCAAGCATTTTACATAAAGAATTCAACCAGATCCTACAGTCAGATTGGTTCAGATTTCTAATTAATCTAAGGAAAACCAGTTGATTGCATCGAATCATTGACTAGAAGCAACCTCACACCAAGCATGCTTGTAGAGACATTGGAGATTAAAATGCCTTTTAAAATAACCCCTTAAAAATAAAAATATATTCCACTCAACACTTACAGTCTTCTTTGTTTCAAAGGAAGAAAAAGACATCCCTACAATATGATGATGTAATTGGTGTGTCTAAGTTTTGTTCTAATGTTTTTGAAGACAATACTTCTATAACATTGATGTAAACTGCAGGGACGGCTACATTCCAATCTGGCCTTCCTTTTGACCTTTTTCCCTAAATCCCATATTCAAATAGTCCTCCTACTAGTTATCTTAGAGATTTTTTTCTTCGTCCAACCTGACTGGATCTCTGCAGACTTTGCAGAGATACTGTCCATCTCTAGGCTGCTGCTCTACTTTTTGCTTTTTTTCATGGTATTTAATAGGAGTTAAATAAGTATGAATATGGAGTGAATTATTGTTGCGAGCAAATAACATAAATATTAGGCCACTTTATTTGCCATTATTCCTTTTCTTTGACTGCAAGTGTTTAATCAAGACCAAAGGTTATAAAACCAAGCAGATGCTCAAATAGGCTATAACAGGGAAGAATTTTACCTTCAAGCTAGAGTGTGGTTTCCCTTCTCACAGGTGAGTGTGTCCTTCTCTCTCTACTCCACCTCATGAGTCTGTAAGCTCTTCCCTTTAGATGTCCTCCTTCTGCTAAGTTTAATTTCTGACTAAAAAAAGGACACAAGGGACCTCCCTTGCACAGAGAGGGCGGCTGGCACACACCTAAGCAACCAAATTATCTGTTTGCATGTGACAGGGCATGTTGGATGTTTAGCAACAGATCAAGTACTCCACTTGCCCAGAGGGTTTTTCATTGGAAGTAGAAGGACGTTTTTGGTTTATATTCTTTGTGCAGCTTACTGTGAAGAACTGTTTTTACTGGAAAATTCAGAGTTCATACTATTTATGTCAGTTTTCAGTTCTGTGCCAAAAGACAACCTGGAAGACAAAAACAATTTAATCCAATTAATTTTATTTATATTGAACCTATTCACAACACGTCATCTTGAGGCAGTTTACAGAGATAATTCAAACAGATCATACAGTCAAATTCATATTGTTTGTAAGCTTCAGTTTTATTTCTGTGCTAAAAGACAATAAGGAAGACAGAAGTAAAATCACAGACATTTGTACTGGTTGAATGCTTTTAACATTTTGAAATGGGTTCACATCCCTCCAAGGTTTAGATAGACTGTGCCGAAACCATCAGTTGTAATCACTCAGCGGTCTGTTTCAGGGTCCAGCATTGAATCACATCATCACAAAATATAAACAATAATAGTCTCTTGACGATGGTGTAATGTATGTTTAGGAATAGTTACACAGTACCTGGTGAAATCATTAGAAACTTTTGCAGTTTTGTTTTAAAGGAGAGAAAGTACCCTTAGCACCAAAGTTAATCCAAGAGTTTTCATAAAATTGATAAAATGAGTGTGAGACTAGCCTAACCTTAACAATTTAGAGCTTGATAATCACATTTATGTATTTTTAAAGGAGTGCAACCAATAGGTTTAATCTAAGTTAAGGTAAAACTTAAGAAAAAAAAAAAACATTAACATCAAACTATAAACATCAGATACACATTCTTCTTAACTTCGATTCATTTTGCCTTAACCTTAAAAGTGATAAAACATGGTTCTAAAAAGTTGGTTGCATTTAAAAGTGCTTTCCTACAGTACTTTAATATGAATAGACTCTAGTCAGTAATAAGGACACCTTGATCTTTGAACCTAGAATGCAGCACACATGTGCCCATTTCCATATACATTTTCATTAATTTTAATGAACAATGTGAAGTTGAATTCTAAACCAGCCACCTACAACTTTTCCCCCTAAAGCTTTAGTTTCTAGAAAGAAAAACTAGAATTTGAGCCAATCTAGATTTTTACTTTTGAAATAATCATGGGTTCATAGTTGATCTCATATTTCATATGTAAACTGAAATATGGGTAAATCTCGTCACTGAATGAGCACTTGGAGAATGTGTAAATATGAGACTTGTTTGTCACATCGTAGAAGGACAGGAGGCCCTCTTCATAGTCCAAAAACACCCCGACCTTTTTCGGTTTGTCTTTAAGGGACAGAGAAATTGGTGGGCTGGTCATGGCTGCATAATCTGCATATGGTTGAGGTACATCACACTCTTCAAAATGTACAAGAACCCAGTACCCATTTTCCGGGCTTAAATTTGGTCTTCCCCTACGATTAGCACTGCCTCTGACTATACCTAGATCCCATCCGGTTTTATTGCTGACCTCCACTTCCCAGTAAGACCTCCCAGTCGTCAAGCTGTTGTGTCCCAGGACGCTACCAACTACATCAAATCTTTTCAGAGAATCAGCTACCATTTGGTTTTCTCCACTATCTTTCATTTTGCTCCCATCACTAGAAAGAACAAGGCGCCGGTGTGCAGTGTCTGGGTCCAGCTTCACGTCCACTGTAAACCATAAGTTGGGTATAAAATTAGTTACAGAAGTAAATACAGTTTTATTTGTTTTGTTTTTTTAAGATTTATGATGGAAGGCTAAATAAATTTTGTCAAATACCTGTATACTTTGGGAACCTCATAAGTTCTGTGAGGAGAAAATTAGTTTTTGATCAATGATGTCAACTTTTCCTTATCATTATTAGCACCATGAAGTCAAATCTTACCAATGGTGGCCATCTTTTCCAACTCCATCTGAATATCTTCAATCATTGCTATTGTTTCCCTCATAGAACCAAAAGACAGTGATGTGTTAAGGTTAACATGCGTCCAGTTTTTCATGTCGTCCTGCACTATGAGAGATGGGTACCTCTGAAAAAAAGGGAAAAAAAGACAACTGGATAAACTTACAGACTTTTTAAAACAACCAAAAAGATTAGTTTTTGGATAAGGAATTTTAAAACTATTGTCAGCTTTAAAAGAAAATAGAGTCACATCTGACCTGTAAGAAAAGGATGTGATCTTCGAGTGCAGATATTTCCTCTAGTTTTAGAATTGTTGTCTCGAGTCTTTTGATTTCATCTTCCAAATCGTATTTCATGTCATTTGACTCTTTTTTTAATAACTGCAACTTATCTTCAAGTGGGCTCAGGGCTTTTGCTTTGGCTGCCTTGGTCGTCCCCACAAATAACTTGCAAAATTCTCTCTATTAATGCCATTGGTGATTTACTGATTGGATTTGATTGCTGAGGGTTTAAATAAACAAGACATACTGGAAATTTAACATTTATCTAATAGTAGTGCGTAGGAAAACCATGAACAACCTCAACAGCATGGCAATTGCCCCTCATGCTGGTTTCCTGCTTGGTGACACACTTTTGTGGAATACCACCCCACAAAAGTGGGGTGGTATTCCACAAAAGAGTGTTCAGCTTTCAAAACAAACAGCGCAACCAAGCATTAGGTGTGTAATAGAGCTGTGTTCTGGACTACAGGCAGGCCAAACTTTTACGGAATTTCCACTCTATGTATTAAGATGACTTCTAAGTGTTGTTTTAGAACTGCATCAATCAGCATTGTCAAAGTAACATAATGGATACACCTCATCTATACAAACAATGGTCAATCTTACAAGAGACAGTATTCTGACAGAATACTATCTAAACACTGAAGACTGCTAGATAATGGCACCCGTCCCCCTTGACCCAAACAGACAAGTGGTAAAAGATGAAGTGATAGACAAATGTGAAACACAGAGTATCTCAAAACCATATATTGACAAAGCAGGTTGAAAGTTCATTAGGAATTAAAATCAAGAATAGCTCAGGAGGTGTCAGACATTTTGGCCCATGGGATATTTTTCCTACTGGTTCCAATCCTGTAACCTTACACAATAACAGACTGGTTACCCAATGGCATATTTTTCTATAATGTACCTTACAACTCTTAAAAGCTTCATTGATCTCTTCAATCTTTGTTCTTCTTGTCATAATCCTATGTTGTAACTCTGTCTTGGTGTTTCCTATTTGATCCTGTAGAAAGCAAAGAGCAAATAGTAACAAAAATAGTTGTCAATATATTTGCATTATATCAAATATATTTCTTTGAATTAAAAATGTACCCCCACAATTTGTATTCACCCAACTAAGTGGAGAAATCTTGGCACAAACAACTACTTATATCTTTAACACACTGGAAGTTTATAGCACCTTTTTTTTTTTACATTCCTCTTCAGCGGACACAACTTCCTCCAGAGGTTCATCCAAACATCGAGCGCAAATGCACTTTTGCTGTTTCCTGCTATAAAGCTCAAGTGGGTATCCATGTGCCAGGCAGGACCTTGTGTCTAAGTTCTCCACTGGTTCCACCAGTGTGTGGCCCCTCAGCCGATCAGCTAAAGCATGATTCTTCAAGTGTGTTGAACAGTATGAGGTCAGACATATAAGGCAGGACTTTGCAGCCTTGTTCTTCGGCTCTATGCAGACATCGCAGGGCACTTCTCCAGAAGCCCCCGTACACCTATTACTCAATAAGTCTTTTACTTCTTGGACAATGTCTCTCAGGATAGTATTAACCATTGGGGCTTCCCTTAGGTGCGTTTTGCAAAGAGGACATGTCCTATCAACCTGATTAGAAGAGATACTTAGTTCTAAGCATGTCTTACAAAAGGAGTGGCCACAAGATGTGGTCACTGGATCAGTAAATGTTTGCATGCAGATGGGGCAGTTAAGATGTTTTTCCAGATAGCAGTCCTCATTGGCTGCTTTGGCCATGGAGGTCATGTCTGCCAAAATACAAAAAACAATGTATTAGAAAAATAAACATAGAATGCAATCTTGTAAACCAGGGGGCTTCAATCCTCATCCTCAGAACCAACTGTCCTGCATTTCGCTGTTGCTTTGCCTTCACACACCTAATGCCGGGTTTACCGTATTTTTTGCCCTTTTCGAGCATGTCTTTTCCACTCATGTGAGAATTTTTCGATCGGCCCGACGTTCAGCCTGATCATGCGTCGTGTAGTGGACAGGGGGGTAAATAGGGGCGATCAGCCTCTCACGACCACCTCCCAATCAGGAATCATGAGGTCGGATTTTCAGTCGGCCATCATGGGCATATCGCTCAGTGGGCAAACAAGGATTCTACTTATTCTTCCTCTCACATGAAAACACTGAATCTTTGCAGGGGTGCGAGTGTAATGGAGTTCTATCTGTAAAATTGACAGACCGTTGTAGCCACGTTTGCTGAGCCATGTCTTTGTCCAAATATGTCATCGCCTTTTCCTTTCAGGGCTTTCAGCTCACAAAATTACAGATTGCCAAGGCAGCGCGTTTCACTCTAGTGAGCTTCATATTCCTCTTCTACTGGTTTTGCATCTGGATAGACAAGTCTGAGTAGGGCCATCTCACAGCGGAGCTGAGTCCAACGTGGTTTTTAGACGTGCAGTGTGAGCAGGTAGATCGAATCAGAGCGTTGGGCTGAACATGCATAGTGAGCTGTGAACTCACACTGTACGACAAAACCACAGGGTTTCATTTCATTCTGACAGCCAGTTTGAACCTTAACAAGTTGTGTAAACCACATTATAGAGGTTAGAGATTAAGCTGCAGCTATTTTCCTGGAATCTTTGTTTGAATTAATAAATCACTTAACAAGCGTACTAATAATTTATTTTATTAATATTTTTCCGATGGTAGGTTGCAGTACAATAAACAAAAGAATTGAAACCCAAATAAAGATTTTTTTTCTTTGCTGTGTTGTTTGTTTTCTAGGGGGGACTAGTATGGCTCAGAGGATTAATTAGTTGTTGTCATTGTGAAAACATTGTTTTGAGTTTCTGCGTCTTCCCGAGTTTTGGTGAGTCCCTAGACAAGGTACTAAAAAAAAATGAATAATAATCTACTTAATGATATTAAGTTACTTTACTCTAACACATTTTTTATGTTAGCAGGGTAGGACATTAAAAGAATTATGCTAAAGTGACTAAATACTGTATAATTCATTAAATGCCCAAAACGGTTTCGTCATTTATTATCAGTGTACCTATCCCCTTGTTTCCTAATGATTGCTGTCTGAATGTGCTTGTTAAACCTGCTGAATGTGTCTCTACCATCTACATCAAAGTAATTTTGAAACTCTTTGCAAACATTTTCCAGGTAGTGTCATTATATGCTTATCCAAAAACAAAATGTATTCTCTTATCTGCCAACATTGAATGTATGAAGAACAGGCATTAAAAAAAGATTAAAAAAAGAATGGAATTAAAGATACAATAAATCTCCTACATTTTGCCATAACCAAGGCTATAAACCTATTTTAAATGCTCCCATTCAAATAATACACACTGACACTGAACCACTATCATTTAAAATGAAACGAAAGAAATTAAAAACAAAAAACATCAAGATCTGAGCAGAATTGTACCTCCAAGTTGCTCATCTGTTGCCATTATCGCTCTACGTCCTATTTCCTCAAATTCCACCTGGAGAATGATGCTGTTTTTCCGACACCTGTTTAAGTTTCATTTCAGATCCACAGTTAAATCAGGCACCGCCTTCATTTGGAGAGGAAGGCTGACACTCAGTGGAGCAATCTCTCTTTTTTTACTTGGTACTGGGCGTGTTGCCTAGACTACGCAAATGTGGTTCATGTTTAGTCAGTAGTATTGCTCAATATAACCCTGTGTGACGGAAAGAATTATATAAGGTCTGGAAAATGTACTAATTAATTCACAGAGAACTAAAAACCCAGCAACCTGCCACTCAATGGCATGACTTAGACAGAAAATTGTATTTACAAAAAAAAAAAAAAAAAATCACGCCACTACCAGGTGGACCTTTATGGGCTACTATGAGTATCAAAACCAGAGGTGTAATAATGATCAATAATTTCAAAATATGTTATGCGTTAAAAGCTGTAAGGTAACATAATAATAAAGAAAAACAAAATTGTATAAAGTAAAAAAATAACAGATGAGAAAAATATTAATCATTTCTTACAGCAAATGAGCAACCTTGAAAGAAAATCAAAGTTCTTCTTTCATGTCTTCTGGGGCCTCTTATGCAAAAACAATAATTACATTTTCATTTTTACTTCACAGCATTGTATTTTTATTAAAAATATAGTCAAAATATGTCAGTTGCAAATATAACAAGAATTTTCAGTTCAGAGGTGTTGGGCTCGAATCTTCACCATTGCCATCATCTTGTGGTTCCAATCACGAACACAAGTGTAAGAATCGCTGTGGAGGAAAGAGAAAAAGACCAATTTAATGAAATGTTTTTTTTCAACATTGACACCTGTTCTGTTGGCTTGTAGAAACATGTCAGACCTGCAGAAAGTGCAGGTTGTCTTCTGTCTTTGAGAGCTGCTCCAGCTCAGCGTTTCTCTCTGTTAACTTGCTGATCTCTTCTTCCAGCTGTTTGATGAGCTTCTTACTTTGTGCCCAAAGCTCTGCAGGTTCTTCATGGAGGTCTGCAGTTAGCTTCATTTCTTCAGTCACACTCAGCTTGTCCTGAATGTCTTGCTGAAGTTGAATCTGTTTACGTTTTAGTTTAATCTGTGAAAAAAAAAAGAAACTTATACATATATATAGTGAAGAAAATAAGTATGTCAACACCCTGTGCTGTGTTCAGCATATAAAGTGAGGAACATAAGTATTGGAACATGCTATTTTGCAAGTTATCCCACTTAGAAATGATGGAGGGGTCTGAAATTGTCATCGTAGGTGCATGTCCATTGTGAGAGACAAAGAATCCAGAAATCACAATATATGATTTAACTATTTATTTGTAGAATACAGCTGCAAATAATTATTCGAACACCTGTCTATCAGCTAGAATTCTGACCCTGTTAGTCTGCCTTCACAATGTCTTCACTCCAATGTCTTCACTCCATCTTCACTCCATTTATTATTCTAACTTGGATGCACCTGTTTGAGGTTGTTAGCGGCATAAAGACACCTGTTGACCCCATTCAATCAATAACAATCCAACTACTAACATGGCAGAGACCAAAGAGCTGTCCAAAGACACTAGAGACAATTGTACACCTCCACAAAGCTGGAAAGGGCTAAGGGGTAATTGCCAAGCAGCTTGGTGAAAAAAGTCCAGTGTTGGTGCAATCATTAGAAAATGGAAGAAGCTAAACATGACTGTCAAGACTGGGGCTTCATGCAAGGTCTTATTTCGTGGGGTCTCAATGATCCCAAGGAAGGTTAGAAATCAGCCCAGAACTACGGTTAGACAACTTACCTACATGGCAGGAGCTGGTCTATGACCTGAAAAAGAGCTGGGACCACCGTTTCAAAGGTTGCCGTTGGTAAGATGTCATGGCTTAAACTCATGCATTGCATGGAAGGTTCCCTTGCTTAAACCAGAACATGTCAATGCCCATCTTAAATTTGCCAATGACCATTTGGATGATCCAGAGGACTCAAGGGAGAAAGTCATGTGGTCACATGAGACCAAAATATAACTTTTTGGTCATAATTCCACTATCCGTGTTTGGAGAAAGAAGTTTGGAGAAAGAAGAATGATGAGTACCATGCCACTGTATAAAGGAGAGGATGACTGGGGCCATTCTCTGAAATTTTGGGGAACAACCTCCTTCTCTCAGTTAGAGCATTTAAGATGGGTCGAGGCTGGGTTTTCCAACACGACAATGACCCAAAGCAAACAGCCAGGATAACCAAGGAGTGGCACTTTAAGAAGCATATAAAGGTTCTTGAGTGGCCCAGCCAGTCTCCAAAACCAAACCCAATAGAGAATCATAGGAAGGAGCTCAAACTCCATGTTTCTCAGTGACAGCCCCAAAACCTGACTGATCTAGAGTAGATCTGTGTGGAAGGGTGGGCCAAAATCCCTACTGCAGTGTGTGCAAACCTAGTGAAAAACTAAAGGAAACCTTTGACCTCTGTAATTGCAAACAAAGGCTACTGTACCAAATATTAACATAAATTTTCTCATGTGTTAAAATACTTATTTTAAAGGAATAGTACACCCACAACATGATTAGCCTTCATTTTCTACTCACCCCCATGCTGAACAACACTCTGAAGTACTTTTTTGATATCTCAAATGCATCTGGAGATCTGGGAGGCTTCTTGCTGTCTGCTGACATTCAAATAATGGAGGTCCATGGCGCCCGAGGCAGAAAGGTCCATAAAAGTCCACAAAAAACGTGTCAATATTCCTCCATACTGCTCGTCCAATGTATTCCAAGTGTCCTGAGTGGGTAGCATCCAGAATTTACTCGAAACGAAGTCATTTAGAATGTTTTTAGAGCATAAACAGTAGTGTATAGGATTTCCTGAAAGCACGTTCACGGCGCTACGGAAACCGCTGCAGACCAACCCAGACGAAAGTGCACATTCAGCTCAGCAAAGAACTCATGCTCTTCCTCAACACTGAAGTCCTCAGACATTTTTCTTTCGTTGTTTCTTTCGTTGCACAGGTAAACAGCACATTTCTTCTTCTACGCTTACATTATCGGCAGAGCAGACGCTGAATGCGCACTTTCATCTGGTTTGGTCTGCCGGCTTCCGTAGCGTCATGAACGCGCAGGTGCGCGCTTTCAGGAAATCCTATACATCACTGTTTATGCTCTAAAAACATTCTAAATGACTTCGTTTCGAGTAAATTCTGGATGCTACCCACTCAGGACACTTGGAATACATTGGACGAGCAGTATGGAGGAATATTGACACGTTTTTTGTGGACTTTTATGGACCTTTCTGTCTCGGGCACCATAGACCTCCATTATTTGAATGTCAGCAGACAGCAAGAAGCCTCCCAGATCTCCAGATGCATTTGAGATATCAAAAAAGTACTCCAGGGTGTTGTTCAGCATGGGGGTGAGTAGAAAATGAAGGCTAATCATGTTTTGGGTGTACTATTCCTTTAAGCTGTATCATGCAAATAAATAGTTTTTAAAAAATCATATATTGTGATTTCTGGATATTTTTTTAGATTATGTCTCTCCCAGTGGACATGCAGCTACGATGACAATTTCAGACCCTTACATTCAATTTCAATTCAATTCAGTTTATTTATATAGCGCCAAATTCACAACACATGTCATCTCAAGGCACTTTACAGTTCAACCAGATCATACAGTCAAATTGATACAAAGTTTTCTATCTAAGGAAAACCAGTTGATTGCATCGACTCATTGACTCAAATACAATCCCCCACACTAAGCATGCTTGTAGCAACAGTGGAGAGGAAAAACTCCCTTTTAACAGGAAGAAACCTCCAGCAGAACCAGGCTCAGTGTGAGCGGCCATCTGCCGAGGCCGACTGGGGTTCAAGGAGACAGAAGCAGAGATACAAAAAGCAGCTGTAAAAGGCGGCCCCGTCCAGGAAACACACAGCCAGGCAGACAAGCTCCAAGGCAGCTCCCATGTCAGAGGACGAAGAGAGCACATCCACTCAGTCACGGTCAGAGAAACAGGACCATACTGGAAAACAGGCCGATCTCCAACATCTATAAACAAGGGTGTTGATAGAAGCAGCACAGCTGATGTTTCTTTCCAGGATGGCGTCACAGCCAAACAGGAACAGACGAGGCAAAGCTACTCTGAGGAAAAGCAGAGAGAGCAGAAGGTTAGAGATTGAACTAACAGATTCTGCAGAATAGGAGAACAGAGAGAGAATGAAGCAGAATGATGAAATGGGGGTCCCTATGTCCTCCAAAAGTCTAAGCCTATAGCAGCATAACTATAGAGATAGCTCAGGATAACCTGAGCCACCCTAACTATAAGCTTTATCAAAAAGGAAAGTTTTAAGCCTAGCCTTAAAAGTAGACAGGGTGTCTGCCTCACGGACTAAAACTGGTAGTTGGTTCCACAGGAGAGGAGCCTGATAACTAAAAGATCTGCCTCCCATTCTACTTTTAGAAATTCTAGGAACCACTAGTAAACCTGCAGATTGAGAGCGAAGTGCTCTGTTAGGAACATAAGGAACAATCAGATCTCTGATATAAGATGGAGCTTGGCCATTTAAGGCTTTATATGTGAGAAGGAGGATTTTAAATTCTATTCTTGATTTAACAGGAAGCCAATGAAGAGAAGCCAGGATAGGCGAGATATGATCTCTCTTTTTAATTTTCATTAGAACTCTGGCTGCAGCATTTTGGATCAGCTGAAGGCTTTTAACTACAGTTTGTGGACTTCCTGATAGTAAAGAATTACAATAGTCCAGCCTTGAAGTAACAAATGCATGGACTAGTTTCTCAGCATCACCCCTGGACAGGAGATTTCTAATTTTTGCAATGTTCCTCAGATGAAAGAAGGAAATTCTAGAAACCTCTTTGATATGGGATTTAAATGACAGGTCCTGATCAAAAATAACACCAAGATTTTTTACTTTATTATCTGAAATCAGTTTAATCCCATCCAAATGAAGTGACTGGCTAATCAGTTTCTTTTTCAGAGACTCTGGTCCAAAGACTATAACTTCTGTTTTGTCTGCATTCAGGAGCAGAAAGTTAAGAGTCATCCAGGTTTTTATGTCTTCAAGACATGCCTGTAATCTATGTAATGGGTTGGCTTCATCTGGATTTATAGACAGATATAGCTGGGTATCATCAGCATAACAGTGGAAATTAATCCCATGCTGTCTAATCATTCTACCGATTGGGAGCATGTATAAAGTAAAGAGAATTGGTCCTAGCACTGATCCCTGTGGTACTCCACAGGTAACCTTTGAGCGTGTTGAAGATCTATCATTAACATGAACAAACTGAATTCGATCAGATAGATAAGATTTAAACCAGTCTAGTGCTGTTCCTTTAATTCCAACAAAATATTCAAGTCTTTCTAAAAGAATGTTATGGTCAACTGTATCAAATGCAGCACTAAGATCTAACAGGACGAGCACAGATACAAGTCCATTATCTGAGGCCATGAGAATATCATTAGTGACTTTCACCAGAGCTGTTTCAGTGCTATGATGAGCTCTAAAGCCAGACTGAAACTCTTCAAAAAGTTCATTATGGTGGAAGTGATCGCAAACTTGTTTGGCAACTACTTTCTCAAGAATTTTGGATAAGAAAGGAAGATTAGATATAGGTCTATAATTGACCAAGTCATCTGGGTCAAGAGACGGTTTCTTAAGCAGAGGTTTAATTACAGCAACCTTAAAAGCTTTAGGTACATATCCCTGTAACAGAGATAGATTAATCACATCTAAAATGGAGGAGGAGATCAAAGGGAATACCTCATTAAATAACCTGGTTGGAACTGGATCTAACATACAAGTTGAAGGCTTAGATGAAGACAATAATTTTGCTAATTCAGAGAGTTCAACTGGATCAAAGCAGTCTAAACCCGGTTCAGATTCCATGACTACCTCAGGTACAATCGCGGATAGAGGAGTGCTTATGATCTTATTTTTAATAAGATCAATCTTATTTATAAAGAATCCCATAAAATCATTGCTGCTAAGAGCAGGTGGAATGGACGGTTCAACAGAGCTATGGCTCTGGGTGAGTTTGGCAACTGTATTAAAAAGAAATCTAGGATTATTCTTATTCTCCTCTATTAATGAGGAGAAGTATGCTGCTCTTGCTTTACAAAGGGTCCTCTTATACAGCAGTAAACCATTTTTCCAGACTAGGAAGGACATGATCTACATGATTTCTAAGTGGGAGAACTTGCAAAATAGCAAGGTATTCAAATACTTATTTACCTCTCTGTGTATAAATATAGATACATATGTTGAGAGTGATCGAATTCATATCAATTTATTATAAGGAACCAATTAATATTTAGTCCAGTTTATACTGACTATTTCTTGTAAGCATTGATCCGCCCATTTTACGGTCACGATTTCTCTTCACAAACAGTAATATACAATTTATTTATTGATTTGATTGATTTATTAAAAGTATTTAAATTAGGGTTTTTTCCATCCTTCCCTCCACTTCTGCTTGTAAAGTGGAGACTTTTTAACAACTACTGAATCACAAAGGTTGCAAAAACAGCTTTTTTCCCGAGACATATCTCAAATAGAATTAGATTTTGTTCCCTTCATCAGACTTTACCTTGCTTTTTGAGGCTTCCTTGCTGATAGAAACGGTGTGGTGACCCCTGTGTTCTGTCTTGTTGCACATGGTGCAAATTAATGTTCTGTCACTCCTGCAGAACCTTTCCAACTTCCTCCCATGTAACCTGCAGAGAGAATCCTCTAGGTTTTTTGACACACTGACCAGCAGATGGCGTCCAAGATCCTCCCTGTGATAATGTGGCTCTAGATGAGCATTGCAGTAGGAGGCCAGGCACACCAAGCAGGACCGCACTGCAGGATGCTTGGGTCGACAGAAATCACATGGGACCACTCCGGCTTTTAGAGGTGTGGTTTCATTTTCAGTTTGTGGTGTGTGTGTGGTCTTTAGTTGTGGCATTTTGGGGAAGACTGTCATGCAGAGGGGGCACTGGAAGCTCTCCTTGATTCTCCAGTAATCTCCTATGCACACCAGGTAGAAGCAGTGTCCACAGGGGAGAGAGGCTGGGTTGATGAACTCATCCAGACAGATGCAGCACCGTGAAGGATTTGACATCAGGATGAAGCTGACCGTCTGATTTAGTCTAGAACCTGCAAAACAATTTGCCAGATTTCACTGGATGCTATGAGAACAGTCTGACATTGCGATGAAAACTAAAAACATATCCCGGGTACACAGAACATCTTAGATCGTTAGGAGAAAATCTGGATTTTTTTTTTTCCTTTTTTTATGTCCAAAAAACTTTAAAGAGTTGATGAAGCGGTATTGATCCCATGTAATATTGCTTTAAAATAACGCAGCAGGACATACCAAGTGGTTGAGTTATTATGAAAGAGGCTTATCTTTAACTCAAATATCCTACATTTAGTAGCTCCACAGCAGCACTCTGATTAACATCTATAATGATGACAGATGGAAACATTGATGTTGCTCAGGAAAGGATTGGGATCCTGAGGAATACGGAGGCATCACACCTTACTGGTCAGAACCATCCAGAGCTATCCCTCTACCCCACATAATCAGACTCTGAGCCGGAGGATGATGCTATTACGACAGCAACAGCCCCAGCAGTGGGGAAACACACCTCTGGTAGAGATAGTATAACCAGTTATTTTGTTTAAATATAAATTAGAATGTAATTTTTTTTATTAATACGATTTCCAAATCCACTGCTGTAACAAGAAATGATCTACTATATGATCTACTATATTGTAAAAGTTATAGATAGCAAGTCCCCCAACCCTTCACTGCCAGGGTTTTCAGATCTGCCCGTTTCCAGCCCAACATGAAACCCCACCACCTCATTAAAAAAAAAGACAGAATGAATTCCTCTGAACATACTGTTAAAACCATGAATCTATAAAACACCTAATACAGAATACAGAGCCACGTTATTACCACAAATTTATCCTCTGACTATGGTACTACAGAACCTAATAACGTTTAGCTTTGGGTCATAATTTGGGGGACCACAAATCTACGATCAACATTTTTTTTCTGAATATTTAAAAAACAATCTATACATGATCACAGCTCAGATGTGGAATTGGAAGAGAAAGTGCTGGGAGCGACATTAGCAGGTTATTAATAACAATCTGCTGATCCTTAGGAAACTTAACTAAGTAAAAGGGGGGTTGGGGATTGAAGCAAAAAGCTGCCACACAATGCAAAGACATAGCTGTATCTTAATCCATCAAAACTTCAGCTGCTGTCCATAAATAAAACAACTTTTTCCAGTTCTCAGCTCTTCAATTCAATTTTGTTTATTTACAGTATACAGCCCCAAATCACAACACATGTCATCTCAAGGCTCGTTACAATTCAACCAGATCCTACAGTCAAATTGATTAAATTTTTTCCATCTAGGGAAAACCAGTTGATTGCATCAATTCATTGACTCAAAGGCAATCCCTCACAAAAAGCATGCTTGCAGCAATAGTGGAGAGGAAAAGCTCCCTTTTAACAGGAAGAAACCTCCAGTAGAACCAGACTCAGCGTGGGCGGCCATCTGCCGAGGCTGACTGTAGTTCACGGAGCCATACAGTTGTTCTACTGAATAACTCAATAACTCAATTTTCTCCCTCAGTCACTCAGTCCAAAATAAGCTTGGAAATATCTTTGTGGATAGCCAGACTTCTTTGCCTATCCCTGTAGGTAAATGACAAGAACCAGATTTTCTGAACTTTAGGAAATTTTTTGAGTTTTATTTTGATTTATTGTCAAAAAAAAAAAAGAAAATCTTTTATTTTAATCTCCCATGTCATAATTTGACCTTTAATCAAAATCTGAGAGAACTCAGTAATAAATATGCACTCCGTCAAAATCCAGAAACTCATTTGCTTCTTATGTAAATCAGGGTTTAAATTGGATCATTGCTTCTTGAAGGAATCATGGTTTAGAAGTAAAGCACAGCCTTGACACAAGGGTTTCCTCAACAAACAAATCTGTATTTAGCCCAGAACAGTCCAGTTTTGATGAGTTCAAACTTTACAAATGTGGAAACAGAGGTAAAACTAAGGCCCCAAATTAATCTTTTTCAAGCTTTAAGTATTTATGGATATGAGATAAGATAAGGTTAAACAAAAGAATACAAAATGTGTAAGGACGAAGAACCAGCAGAACAGGAGTAGCAGACTCAGCTATTTGATCCTTTATGGGTCAAATATCTTTTCCTTCTAAACATGAAGTCACTAAGCTGGTGAATTAACCATGAAATTTGATTTAAGTTAACAATAGATTTAGTTTGTTTTGCTAAGAGAGAAATTATGTTTTATCAATGCTGCAATAATGACACAATTTAAAACTGATTCATTGCTAATGAAAAAAAGTCCAGTTTATTCAACATATTGTCCTATTAGACTTAGACAAATTTTATTTTGTCATTTTGTTCACAAGTGTATACAAAAAGAAATATAGTTTTAGTACAGCTCTCTAGGCTTTTTCATTTTTAAAGTGCAGCCTTGATAAAAGTAAGCAGCTGTGATTAAAAACACTGTGATAAAAAACACTGTGGTGAAAAAAAAAAAAAGAGTATGATTATTAATTATCATTATTAATAGAATTATTATTATCTATTAACCATAGACGTCCACATATACTGATTCTTACACCCTAAAATGCTAAAACATTTTAACGTGTAAGAAGAATTTGAATATGTGATTGCGTTTCAAATGAAAATAAATATTTCTTCACCACATTTTAGATTACGGCTGGGCAATAAATTGCATTTCCAATATAATCGCCAAGTAATAAACTACAGTTTTCAAATTACGGAGGTGCTACATTTTGGTTACATTACATTCAACAAGAATAATACACTGACTTTCACACTCGGACCTTCAGGGGGTGATAATGTGCTTAAAGCGGGTCCACCGCCACACATAAGAGAACAAAGCGTTAGAACACAGTTGCCTACAGCACAGAGAACCGTAAACACTTTTCCACACTACAGTAACAGTGAAGTCCTGCCAAATGGACTCTCGACAGGCAAGCCTTCAAGGTCATGAAAACAATGAAACCATGGGGTGATACATCGACATGCTGGTGCTTAAAGCATTGGAAAATTAAAATAAAACCACAATTTTAGTATTGGTTGAATCAATCACAATTTTGATTTTTGACTAAATCCTTTTTTTTAAAAACAGGTTGTAATTGTTATTATAGAAAGGGAGTAAAACATAGTTAGGAAATGTGCTACATTTTCGGACCAGATTACCTCTCTGTCAGTTCCTACCTCCTTTTCTCATTTATTACCTTCTTGTCCCGGCATTAGAATGAGCCATGTACATGTACAGTGTACCCATGTACAAATCCTTGTCCTTTTCATTTTCTGTCTTCAAGACAAATATAACAATTTATACTCAATTACATTATGTTTCTTCAAAACTTTATAGTATTTCTAATCAAGGCCACTATTCAATGTCTAGGCCACCTGACATCTGAAATCAGACAAGAACTGAGTGATTGTGTTGTTGATCGTTTATGCTTACCATAAATGATCCACCAGGAAGTTGATAATACATGTGCTCAAAATAATAACAGCCGTTTAAAAATGTAGGTTAAGTTTAAAACCTGAAAAATATTTTTTTTTCTCCATGCATTGGTAACAACTTGAAGGGCACTTCACAGAAAATAAAAAAAGGTTAACATGGGATGGGTTCAGCGATAACAGGTTCTCCCTTTTCTTTACAAATATAAATATAGATGGTATAAGCTGAAAAGTCTTTATGATTTATTATTCCTGTAAATTAATAAACTAATGTGTAGTATTATCACTGTTTCTGGGAATTTCTCCTCTTTCACAAGAAGTCGACCAAATCTCTTAACAGGTATTCAAGCCCAGGATGTTTTCCCAACATCCAGTTTCTCTACATTTCTTGGTCTTCCTTAGAATAAGCATTTTTGATGTTCTTCTACAAGTCTTCAATCAGATTAAGGTCTGGGGATTGGGCTAGCTACTTTGAACTATGATTTTGTCAGGCTGGTATGCAATATGTTGCTTGCTTAGCTTTGGAGTCATTGTCTTCTTGAAACATCAAGAGCATTTCCTGGTAAAGTTAAAGCTTTTGGTTAATACAGTATAAACTGATCCATGATCTCTGGTATGCAATAAATAGGCTCAACACAGAGTAAGTTAATCTTCCTCATGTCATGGTGCTTAAAGCACCATCCTCCATTGTCTTCATAGTGTACTGTGGCTTTTATTCAGTGGTTGGCAGTTATCTTGGACCCCCAAAACCCCTTCCTTTAATCAGTACTTTCATTTTCATGTAGGCAGTTAATATTTTTGTAGCATTTCTTTCTGATAAATTATCTTCACAGATGGCTTCCATTTGTCACAATACTAACTGGTAACTACAGACCATCTTTGATCACTGCTTTGAGCTAATAATTGTCTGACTCTTGGCCATTTAAAATTTTTTTTTACTCATTTGAACGGTAGCCTTTTTTCTAAATCTTTCTGGTTTAGCTTTGATTTCAAAGCACTAGATTATAGTCCAGCCAATGATTTTCTGCACCTATTTATATACACTCCCCTCCACAATTAAGCTTTTAAGGAAAGTACGCTTTTCTGAAAGATGCCTGAAATTACACATTTTTGTTAATCTTTTAGGGAAGAATGTATTATACTTAAAATAAAGGCAACCAGATTGAAAAACAGTTTCTTTTTTATGGAAATAGTGACTAAAATAATTCAACTTCACACAAACTTTTAATTACCTTTCAATTAATTGATCAACTACAAAGCTTCAGGGATAACCTTTTAATAATGTTGGTTGTTGTCGTTGTTTTCTATGACTCTATCGCACCAATGAATACATTATTTGCCAAACAGTGATGCATTTTTTTTAGCCTTCTGATTCCTATAGTTTTTAACAGTCAGGATAATGATTGGAGAAACCCTGTGAGGCCGTGATAGACTTTAAGCAAAAGGAATGAAATGATGAGATCTCAGATTTTACTTTGTTTTTCTTTGTATATTTTTTGTTGTTGACACAGATTGTCAAATTACAACGATCTGCCCTAAAGCCAGTAATTATAATCTTAGACTGTTAAGGTCAAAGAAATGACTCTAAGGGAATCAGACAAG